TATATATATAAAATATCCCTTTCCATCCATTCAAATACAATAGCTTACAAACTTTTATGTAAACATCTTATAGTTCTGTAAAGTGCATCTAATCATTTCATTTCATTCAGGTAATCAGTTCTTGCACAGCAAACATCAGATGTATGTATTTGTGTTTTACATCAGTGTAATTCAGCCATAAACAACTGGCTAAAACATGAAACACTTGGTTCAAATTAGGCTATCAAAATTTGGTCAAAATAGAAAACAAGAAGTAATCTAGTCTCAAGTCTGAAGAGAGACACTTTACCTGCCGGTGATGAGTTGGCTTCTAGACGGAGTGCAGATGGGCTGGATGTAGTAATTCTCCAGCTTCACTCCGTCAGCAGCCAGTTTGTCCAGCACCGGTGTCCTGATGTCAGAGCCATGATAGCCGATGTCGTTGAATCCCTGGTCGTCTGTCATAATGAAAATAATGTGAGGAGGCTGTGGAATAGGAGACCTGTTAACAAAAGTTTGATCTGGCTCATTTTCCACCTGATTAGGACTCATCAAATCCCAGGTCAGGTAACCGAGGCTGAGCAAGCTCATCATGGAGAAACCGGTCAGAGCTGTCGTTGCCATGGCTTCTGTGGCACCAAGTATCTGTCGCACTATTAGTATATTGTCACCAAATCATAGTGCAGTGGGGCTCAGGATGAAGAATGTCCTCTCATCGGACTTTCAACTGACCCTCCATCCTTGCTTACTCTCCAAACTGTTTCAGCCTCCCTTGAAAACATTTCCCTAGTGGTCCTATTAACCCCGCCCAATTTCCTTGCTGCCTCACTGAAATAACATCAGCCACCCACCACTACCCAGAAACATACAGAAATATTTCTTCTCCTTCCAGGTGTTGATGGTGAGTTTGTATCTCACATTAGTAGACACATCTTTTTTGCTTGAAATTATTCAGCAAAATCCTAGTTTTGATTCTGCTGCCAAATATTTGCATTTATTCCTTTCAGTGTAAAGGCAGCTTTAAACACAAAAGCAGCCAAAAGAATCACACCATGCACCCTCCTGTTCATTCATGCTTTTTTATAGTAATTTGATGTCAATGAACCACACTGCCAACTTTGCAAATTACCAGAAAGCTGGTTTAGCTGTGGATGACAGAGCTTCTACAGAACGATCATTACTCAGAAAAACATGGTGTGTGAGGGGGATTTGAGTCTCGGGGCAGCTGAGGGGCCCTGCAGACACAATCGCAGACACTGTTTCCCACTCCACTCCACTGCGCTCACAAACACTCTTTTCTTATTCCCGCTGTTTTATGAGTACTCCAGACCTGAGGGAGACACAGAGCAGACTCTGAGTCTGATAACATCTCCAACCGGGGGTCAAAGAACCACTTTACAAATCATCCAACAGATCAACAGAAAGCAGCAGGGCTGCACAGCCTCAGCCTCAGCCCCCTTATTGCTGAGTACAACTGTGCAAAACATGCATATTTAAAAAGTCTTGCTCCCACCATCAAAAGTGGCCATTTGGAACAACGAATTTGTCAAGCTCAGAGACATGTGTCTTTCCAGATGATCCCTATTTCAGATAGGCTGATAATGGTACCTTAATTTTCTTGGCCAACAGACACCTTAGAACCAATCATTGCTTGCTACTGTCAGTGCCACTCGGTTAAAAAAAAAAGTCTAGTTTATCATGGGCCATTATAAAACCACTTCATGTTTTACTAAGTTGTAACATTTTAACAGGGAGTAGTCTGGTGATGTAAGACATCTTGTTATCAAGTGTGTCATCAGTGATTTGGCCATTGGATAGCACAGTCCAACCCTCTTTGAATGTAAAGACTGACTCTACGTTGTTCACCTTGGACAGAAAAGCCTTGGAGTGTTCACACATTACACGGCCTACAAACATACCTTGTCAAAAGCTGTCACTATAGCAACCGACCCCTCGTACTCTTGGCAGGGACTGCCAAGTGTTAGTTAGTGAAAAGTTAGCAGAAGTGTTAGAGTATATGTGCACAATAATGACTTAAAAACTGGATTGTTTTTATTTGTTTAGTTTTTAATAGTTTTCTATTTTTTGATGTGCAAAGTTGCCATCTGTTGCCAAGTCATATGTAATGTAACCCCACACACCTGTTGGTTTAGCTGAATGACTAAAATGTGAATCTTGAATGGACATGTGGTGTCTTATGTAGTCTACGCTGAGGTGAATACCTGCCACATGAAAGATACTGCAACTCAGCTTGTAAAGATGTTCAGTGAATGCACCCACAACAGACAGTGTACTTTCACAACCTGCGTAATATGAGAAGGCATTCAGATACACTAGTATGACCAAAGCACCATGGAGCACACTGTGTATGTTGTCAAACTAGGTGACAGAGGGGGGAAAAGTATTTCCCGCGGAGCATGATACAAGCACAGTCACTACATGGGAAACTGTCATGCTTCTGTATCAATAACAACTGTGCATCTTTCACATGCACAGTGGTATAAGTGAGATTATACTCTTCATTTTAAAACCTGAATCTGTCAAGTAGCTCAAGATCCTAAAAATGAAATCTGTTGAAATCAGGAGTTGTTCAGCATGCTGGAAGGTAAAACATAACACTTGTGCAAGTGCAGCAGAAGCATCTTTTCAAGAGGAGCTTCTGAGTTTAAGGAAGGTCAAACCCGGAAAGATGCAAAAGAAAAAACAAATTAATGTGCAGCTGAAGTTTTACATGTTTATTTATGTTGGGTTTTCTCTATATTGGGAGCGGCTTTGACAGCTGAACCAGAGAACTGTTGTGCAGTCACACTGAGTGAGTTGATATTACTGATTATAGTAGGTTTACAGTATGTCTGAATAACAGCAAGGTCAGCTCAGAGGCAATTAAAAGGACGGGGCAGAGAGTCGGCAGTGTAATAACATCACCCAGTAGGGGACCATACAGTATCTGTGTGACCCCTCTCTGCCAGGAAAGTAAGTGTCACTTATGAGATGTGACTCAACTGTTTTCTGTTGGTCAGAGGTGTAACTGCAGCTCACTGAGTCAACAACACTTCTACTCAAAGCTTACTCCACAACACAAACAACGCACATACCGAGGCACACAAATTATAAAGAAAGACTGTGCCCACATACTCATCACCCTCTAAAGTCTAAAAAGCTTTTTATATGTTGACACCACAGTCATACAGCTCACATGACACATTTGCTAATCTAGTCTTGAACTGGCATACTAAATAAAGAAATGGTTTGAAGACAGTATTTATAGGAACTGTTACCTCACAATGCACCATGAGTAGCTTTCACTGGCCACTATGTAAATGTTGGACAGACACCATATTCGGTTTCTGAATGTTATTTTCAGTTACTTGTATGTCGTGACTTTCCTTGGCCTACCGCTGCTCTGTTTCAAAGTGAGCTAAATGTATCAGCACTCTTGTAAAGAGCAGGGGTCTGTTTGCAGAAATAGTATAAATGAAAACCAGTTGGTGGTCATGACTCGTGTTGTTTGGGTGTAAAAGAATGTGACTCAAGCTGAGTTGCTGTTGAACTGGATGTGATTCTGCAGATATTTAAGTTTAAGCCAGACTTCACTGTTTTCAGTTTCTCACCTCCTCAGTCACTAGCTTTTTATCTTAGATGTAAATGTTTTAATGATGCATGACCATTTTCCTTTCTTCACGCCACGCTTCCTAAAAGTTACATATCATCAGGACAATTTCAGAGTGAGGTTTTGAGGGAGATGCTGTCTTTTGTATATAGAAATATTAAAAATATGCAGCCATGAAGTCAAGCTACTTGGGAAAGTCTTAGAGTAGTGTATATTTGTGTTGTGGACTTCTGTGGTGTGGTTGCTGGTTCTTCGGTAACCTTCTAATTTACCCAATTTCTTCCTGAGGATGTGAACAGGGAAGTGTTTCACAGAACTTTATGAATTTAACAATGTTTCATTTTTTTCTACTGGTCAATTAAAAGCAGATATACAAAACACAATCAAAGTGCAGTTTCATTCAGGAGTCTATTGCTTTACACCAGAGGGGTTCACTCATAACACTAATACAAGGCACTAGTTGCTTTTCAAAACCTTGTATTGACATTTTACCTCTTTTCTTCTCATAAACTCTGAATAAAACACACAAATATAAGACACATAACTTCTTCTCAGTTGTTTCCAAAGTGATTCTCTGAGGAACCATGAAGTGCAGTAATGAGTTGGAAAGGAGGCAACGACTTGGGGGTGCTGATCCTGCTGCTCCTGTGTCGGCTGGCTTTCACTGAGGAAGCGGTGCTGTTACTGAATACGGCTGCTCTCCTTTGCCATGAACACTGCCACCAATGCGCCCCTGCCAGTAAACCCCCCTCTCTTACAACAATTTTCAGATCTGAGTAAGACTGGGCGGAGGTTTTCTTTCTTCCTGTATGCCAGCCTCTCGCCAAAACCTAACTGTATTCAGGTTGTGACCATCTACTATATGGAAAAGTGCCTTTGTTTCAGACTTGTTCAACATGTCCCATTTTCCAGTTTCTTGTGTAATCATCTTTTCAACATCAGTCCATCAAGTGAGGGGTAGTTTAGGGCGATTTAGGACAGGTACAGTTTTAGGACACTCATTTTCTGAGGGGTAATTTAGGGTGATTTAGAACAGGTACAGTTTTAGGACACTCATTTTCTCTCATTGTTCAGTTACCTAAATTTAACAGGCTTCAACATAAATACCGAAAACTTTGTTTTCAGGCTAGCTAGCAAACATTTAGAACTTTTCTAATGCCTTAACTTTATGCCGTTATGCTGAATTACTTTACTTCAGAATAATTGCCACATATATCTAATATGCAGATATTGCACTCTGCCTTTGGAACTGCAACCAAAAATATTTTTGAGCTTTTCTGACCATTTCAACTTATTTGCATGATACATATACCTTTATATGGGTTATGTATAGTTCATATTTCATTGGGATAAATGTGTGTATTTATCTGTCCATCTCCTAGTACGATCTACTGGTACACCTTAGCAAATGAAACTTCACACCTGAGGTGGCAGTCCAGTGTCTGAGCGCTGGCCGCAGTTCTGGCTGTAGGCATGTTTGACTTGGCTCCTGTGGCACTGTAGCAGCACCTGGGCAGGAAGGCCAGGCACATTTCATCACAGCCCTGCAGCAAAGCCACCTGGATGGACATCTGAAAAACACTCACTATGGAACCCTGTGTGTTGGTGAATTTTACATTTCCTTGTTGCTCATTTTGTTTAATGTGTGTGTTTGTTTATTTATTTATTCAAAGAATGATATATTAATGCACCTTAAAGTGCCTATAGGTTTTGCTACTGTACCAAAGTGGCAGCACTGACAGGCTGTGACATATTAATGGTCCCCAGTAAAAACAAATCACACTGGCTGTAGTTGTAGGTAATCCTGCGGAGTGAGCACCGATGTGAGCTGCTAAATGTGTGGAATGTAAAGTAGATGTATTTCCTGTGAAACAGACTGCCCTTTACAAGGGTAACCTGGACAAATATCCCAGTTAATTTTACTGCAACATATCATCAAAGCCAAGTGAAATGGTTCTTTTTTTTTCTAGTGCTCAAGGGTGTGCACCTATCTGGCCCTCTCTGTTGCCATTTTATTTCTTTTTCTCTAGTAAATTTAACTCGTTCTCAGACACATCAGAAAATTATTCAAAATATTGTGCTGTTTAGAGGAGATGTGAGTTGAGGAAATATTACATTTCCTATTTTACACATCATTTTTCTTCCATAATATTTTAGTGGTCTGTTTCATCCAACAGCCAGAGAATAGAGAGCTGAGTCAGTTTTATAACAAACTTCATGGGCCAAACCAATGGAGTGTGTATGTTGGGAGAGGGGTTGTGTAAGATGTTGAAATCAAGCTTGTTGAGTTTGGAACACACACTGCTTTCCTTTCATAGTTCTGCTTGATGAATGAGGCTCTTTCAGACATTTAACTCCTGCTGACCCTTTTCTTATCCAATACTCTTCTCTGGTTTGATCCAAGGTCTCACCATCAGCCACAGTATCTCAGATCTACTCCATGGCAACACGTTGTGCCCAGACACCTTTAGCTTCCCCCCAGTTCAACCAAATAAATAAACACCTGATTGACAGGAAATCAGCCTTCCTGGCAGCTTATGAAATGTTTCTGATTTCTGATCCATTTAATTGGATAGTTTGTGATTTGTCTTACTCTGAGGAAGCTTTTTCATCGTGAAGACATTTAACAAGAGAGGTAAGTCAAAAAAATTCAAGCCACAAGAGAAGTTATTAAGGGACAGGAAGAGGAGGTTTGTTCAGTGGTTTATGTTGTCTCTCTTCTGTCATTTCTCACATTTTAGTGTCTGCACACACTCATCACATCTGGATATATACATAGACAGACAAACATATAGTAACATTTATAGGTAGTTTCCAGTTAACTTGTGCATGTTTGGACAATGGAACAAAAGTGGAGCAATTGGAAGAATCCACAAGAAGTTCCCATCAGGAAACAATCCCTCAGAAGCATCACATCATTGTTTTCATACTGTATGATTTTAGGGGATCTTAGACATATGGGGCAATTTTCATTTTAATTTTATTGTGGGGCTAACAGTTTCAATATTAATGTCTGTACTCTGACTAGAGCCAGGTGGTGCCATTCTCAATTATGTAAAACCACTAGAAACTATATAAACTTCTGCAGAAAGTCCTGAAGACACAACCTTGAGGAAGCTGATTTAGGAAGGCTACACACATTCTGCCAGAAAGCCAGATCACAAAATTGCAGCCTGGCAGCAAATCCTTTAATAGCTCAGCTCTTCTACTTGATCTCTCTCTGTGATACTGGTCTAAATTATACAGGCCTTGACTGACTTAAGAAAATAATGTACTGTATCTGTTCACAAATATCAAATTTCCATCCTGCGACAGAATATGCAGCTAAGCAGAAATTAAGCCAAAACTGACCAAATCATAGGAAACTTACAGACAAGTAAAATAAAATTAATAAATTGACACTACAAATGTAATTAAAAAAAAGAAATGTAAAGATGTTGAGAGACTGGGTCTTAGTCGATTTTTGTGAGTGGCTCAATATACTGCAATACTTGGGCCACCGATTGCAGTATTTTCTGCAGTATGCTGTGTAGTATGCACAGAATACTGGCTAGAGACTGCAATTGTCTTCAGAAAATGTCTCCCAACATTAATAACTTCATGTGATTTTTTTTTTATTAGAAGGGGAATGTTTTATATATTAGAATACTACCTCATAATGGCTTTTTTTGTACTACAGTTCCCATGGTGCACTGCGGCGGTAAAGAGAACTACATCCTGAGTGCAAAGTGAAACCTGACATGTGTGTGTTGTTGAGTAGCAGTAGCTGTGGAACATGCGCTCAGTTTTAATATGAAAGTACTTATATTCGGTACTTTTTACTGTTTCTTTGTCGGCTACTTCGTTTGTCGGTCATGTCCGTGAACGCCTCAAAACTAGAGCTGAACCAGCTGATTTACCGCCATTTGAAGGAGCATGGTTTCCACTCAGCTGCTAGTGAGCTACAGAGGCACAGCCCGCAGGTCACCACTGTACACACACACACACACACACACACACAGACTGTTGTATGAGTGACTGTAACAGTTTGTTACCATTTAATAACTATAACTTACTGTAACTGCTGCACAACAGGCTCTCTGCTATGTTCATGTGGTCTTCTGTGTCTCGGTGCTTTTACTGTAGTTTTGTAAGTGTTGTTACAAGTTGAACTGCAAGACTTCCATTTTTTTGTCATACAATGCGCCCAATTATACATAACTTTACTAAAATGTTGTTTTGATAAGGTAATTAGTAGCTCATTACTTTGACTCGTGTGTAAAGTTGTTTCCAACCACCAGACTCCTTTTCTTCAGTGGATTCATGTGGAAAATTTCCCTTTGTTTCAGTGTAGCTGACCCAGTGTATAACTAAATTATATTTAATAGCAAAATTCCATAAAATAAGGTAACAATATGATGTGTATACAGTGGTGGAAGAAGTGCTCTACACTACAGCAGAATATGTTGGGTGCCCACCTGATGACCCTGTAGACTTGCCTTCACTCCTCCACCCTAACAAAACTTGTATTGGTGGTAATAGTTATTGACTCATTGGGGTTGTTAGTAGTGTATTCTTCTTTTGTTTGACAGTCTTGGCACAACAGTGTCAGTGACTGGTCAACTGAGCGGACCTGGCTCTCAGGTGGCTGCCGATACAAGCCAGTTGGGCCGGCCACTGCTTAACCCCAGCAAATACAATGCAGATACTGTGTGTCAAGACGCATGATGCTTATTGTGGGACCCTAAAGATTTATGACGCTATGGCCTGATGGTTCAACATCATTTACAGTATCTTGTATACTGAGCTTCTGTTTGCTTTCAGATTCTGTGGCACATTTAATTGTGTATTATCAACTGCAGAATGGTACATTACACATGAATGTATTGTATATTGGATTCGAATTATTGATGCATTATCACATCACATTTAATGTTGAAGCTGATAAATGCTGAGCTAATTTCAACTACTGATAATGCTTAGAATTTGACGTACTGCAGGGACGTTTGTGAATTTCCCTCTGGGTATCAGTAAAGTCTGATGATTATACTGTATTTGTTAATAATCTGATTTGATTCTGAGTCCCCAATAGGCAGTTCATATGATGAGAATAACCATATAATGTTGTGTAATTAACGTCATTAGTTGTTAGTAGCTACATTAAATTGATTAGTTCTGCCTGTGCTTTTCTTGCTATGACAAGTCAAAATGTCTCCCAAGATAAGTTTTTATAAATCTGATATCAAGACCGAGATTGCATTATGTCTAGCTATGTTTATTGTATGTAATAAACAACTTACTCAGTGTATGTTTACTGTTTTTTATTTTCTGAATTTCTGCAGGGGGAGATAGAAACATCTCCATCATTACTGGACATCTACAATTCATGGTTAAAGTGAGTATGATTTCTCATTCCTTTCCTGAAATCAGACACATCGACTGGATGCCTTTAGCTGTAATGGGATGTTTTCCTTGTATTGATTTTGTTTCTGACAATGACTCAAAACACAGGCATCCAGACTCAGCCAAGAACTCCAGTCCTCAGAAACAAGAAAAGAATCCAGCTAAAGGTACAACTGCTTCTTTCCCAAAACTGACTTGTAGCATGTTAAAGTCAGGGCTGAACTAAGTGAGTGAAGGCCAATAATCAGATTAATTGTGTTTTTGAGATGTGGTCAAGAACAATTCAGGGATCTGGACCCTGGATAGGCAGGCAGAGCAGTTTGGACTTGTCAGGCTCGTCCTGCTCTCGCTTTCATTTGCCACCAATTTGTTTTAGGGTGACTTGTGTGTTTTCCTCCCATTTTAAAAACTAAAACATGCCTTAAAAATGTTCAGATGTTTTTCTCCACCTGGTCCATCTTTGCTCCAACCTCAAGGGATTTAAACTCTACATACATTATGTAGTTTGTAGTTATTTTAAAGTTAAAGGGTTCTGTTTTTTTATGTCCAGGCACGCCAAAGAAAAAGAAGAGTAATCCTGTGCAAAAAACTGACACACCAAAAAAGGTGCATTTTTATTTATGATTATTATTATTTATACATTCATTCATACCCTTTTCAGGATAAGCAGTATAGATCATGGATGGATGGATATTTACTATTATTGTTGTTGATTTTATTTATTTTGTGCCAATTGATGAATGTTTTTTTTTAGTCTGCATCAGCAAAAAGGAAAAAAAGTGAATCTGCAGAAAATGTAATCAAGACAAAGAAATCAAAGACCCAAACAAAGGGCAAGGCTGTGTCTGCTGGGGAAGATGATTCAGACTCTGACAGCAGCCTGGACGTGGAGAAATGGAAGAAGCTTGTCCAGCAGATGACAGGTTGGTATGTGTGTTTGGGGAAAAAAGAAAGAGTCACTGAGTGCATCATTCATTTGCAAGTATGTAAAGGATGAGGTGATGAGGACAATTCTGGGAATTTAAAGAGAAGACACAACAAACAGTATTTTCCAGTTAGTGTTTTCCACCAGTGCTGGGAGTGACACATTAGGGCTATGACGTGCATTTGAAGGTAAGATAAAGTAGTCTCCACAATAAAGAAAGAAGCCATTCACAATATGGACGGTTGTTTTAATTAGAAACACGTTGAGTCTTTCAAACGTTCCTAGTGAGCTGTAACTAATGTCTCCAAAGGCTGAGCGCTAAAATGATTGTGTTAGTCAGACACTGGGCTCCAGATAAAAGGAAAAGTAAGCAGTGGGTTCACTTTGGAAAGAGACTAAATGAAGGATGGAGAAAGTTAAGAGGTGTGGAAAATGCAGGAAACGGTGGAAGGCGAGGCAGGTGAGGGAGATGAAAAGACAGGGAGAGCCGAGTCCTTTCACTTAAGGAGAGAATGACAAGCACCAGACAGGACAGCACCACCCAGGAACAACCAGTAAACAGTGATTTCATACAAGCATGGCTGTGTACAGTAGCTGTGGGGGTGCCATTGATGTTTTCTTTTAAGCATTTGTGCCTCCCAGTCATGTTTACTCAATGTCTTCACCATGTTGACTCTGCCTGCAGTGGCTGACATAACCAAGATGGACACCCTCAATGCTCTAGACTCCTCTGCACCGCAACCCAAGAAAAAGAGAGTCAGAAAACCCCGGGCGAAGCCTCCTGCAAAAACAGGCACTTCAGTTCAACAGAATAATAGCATGGTTGAAAAGAATGACAAAGTGGTGGGGAAAGCTGTAACAGAGTCACCAGCAAAGAACAGTGAACCCAAGAAGAGCAGTCCAAAAAAGATGACACCTGTGACGACCTTTGACACCCTGAGCCAAGAGCAACACCTGAAGGCTGCAGAGGACAGACCCCCTTCATCCATTCTGTCCCCTTCAAAGCAGACACCAGTGAAAGAGAAAAGGAAAGTGGTAACTCCCAGTAAAGAAGCAACTGATGAGATGATGTCTGAGCCCAAAAAGAAGAAGAAGAAAAAAGATGCAAATAAAGACAAGGTGGAAGGGAAAGCAAGTGAGACCGGTGAAGATGGCAAAGAAAAAGGCAGAAAAGAGGAAAAGAAAAAGAAGAATGAAGTTGTAGAGAATGAATTTAATGATGAATTGGTGGTGGAGAAGAAGAAAAAAGGAACAAAGGGAGACAGCAAAAGGAAAAAGAGTGAAGAAGAAATCATGGTGAAGAACAAAAATGTGACTGGTGATGATTTAAAGGAAATTTCAGAGACAACAGTACAAGGAAAGAAAAGCAAGAAAAAGGAGAAGAAAGCGGACAATGAAGAAAATTCAGTTGAAAAGGTGAAAGAAAATTCAGAGCAGGTAGGTGAGGAAGTCAAACTAAATACAGAGAGAGTTTCTGAAAAGAAAGCAAAGAAGAAAAAGACACATGATAGTGAGGGAACATCAGAACAAAAAGGCGAAGAGAAAGAAAATCATGAGCAGATACTTGAAAATAAAGCAAAGAAGAAGAAAAATGAGACAGAGAATCCTGGTGAGGAAAACTCAGAGCAGATCATTAAAGAAAAAGCAAAGAAGAAGAAAAGGGAGAGCGCTGATAGCGAGGAAAACTCAGAGCAGATTGTTAAAGAAAAAGCAAAGAAGAAGAAAAGGGAGAGCGCTGATAGCGAGGAAAACTCAGAGCAGATTGTTAAAGAAAAGAAGAAGAAAAAGATGGTGAATCCTGGTGAAGAGAACTCAGAAGAGACCGTTGAAGAAAAGAAGAAGAATAAACAGCATAAATTTATTCACCATGAGGGCCTATTGGAGCAGATAGCTGAAGAATATACACAGACCAAACACACAAAGAGTGGCAACATAGAGAAAAGGGCAGACCAGATTACTGAAGTGAAGAAGAAAGGGGACTCATCATTGAAAAATAATGCAGTTGATGCAGAGCCACTACCTCCACCTAACATTGAAACTCCAAGTCCACCAACAGAGAAGAAGAAAAGTGAGTAAATAAGTCAAAAAGTCATTACAAAATGCTGTTTTTTAAGTCTGTATTCATTCTTCAATTGTCCTTCTCTCAGAGAAAAGCAAGTCAAAATCAGCTGAGGTCCCAGGAACACCTGCAGGTTCTGTCCAAGAAAAATTGAAAAATAATACATTTGACACAGAGCCACTACCTCCCCCTAACAGTACAACTCCAAGTCCACCAACAGAGAAGAAGAAAAGTGAGTAAATAAGTCAAAAAGTCATTACAAAATGCTGTTTTTTAAGTCTGTATTCATTCTTCAATTGTCCTTCTCTCAGAGAAAAGCAAGTCAAAATCAGCTGAGGTCCCAGGAACACCTGCAGGTTCTGTCCAAGAAAAATTGAAAAATAATACATTTGACACAGAGCCACTACCTCCCCCTAACAGTACAACTCCAAGTCCACCAACAGAGAAGAAGAAAAGTGAGTAAATAAGTCAAAAAGTCATTACAAAATGCTGTTTTTTAAGTCTGTATTCATTCTTCAATTGTCCTTCTCTCAGAGAAAAGCAAGTCAAAATCAGCTGAGGTCCCAGGAACACCTGCGGGTTCTGTCCAAGACGCCACAGACACACAAACCATCGAAACACCTTCAAGTGATACCCACAAAAAGGTATCACAAGATAGATGTTACAATTCATAACATTATATTAGTCTGAGAGTTGAATTCCTTAATTCTTCAGATCTTTCACTCATCTGTGAATTTTCCTGTAATTCTCCACAGAAAAAGATGCACAAACACAAGAGCACAGAGTTATGAACTTGTGTGATTCCTCATCCATGCAGAACCAAAGGATGAAGTCAATACTTCCGACCCTATTTCTAACCATATTTTAATGGTTAGAAGGATCTCTTCAAACTTTTTTAAAGCAAGATTGTCTTTTTATGTTGGTACAATTTTTATCTTTTTTATCACTTTTATTTTTTTACTGAGTGTGGCATACTATGCCACAGCTGTCTTTTTTTACTTGGTGGTAATTGCCATTTTAATGGCATGGATATACAGTATATAGGTGATTGTTTTATGGAACATATGGTATGTATGATGTACAGTATATGGTCACCCTCCTGTTTTCAAAGTGAAATTCAGTCATTGATTAAAAGGAGAAATGACTCTTTCAGTCACGGGTATATACGATAATCTTAAACCCGCCTGATTTTCTGAATCACTCCCCAAATTTCTGATTTTCATGATTTAGATGTAATGACACATTGTGAAGACACTGTAATTACCAGGGTTTATACTAACTTTCTTTCATTCTCAGTATATGTTTAGTGCTATACTAGCTGTCTTGTAATGGTCACAAAAGGCAAAGTTCTTGTGTATAAAACATTTTCATATTTAAAAATAATTTTAAATTCATTTTAATAGTGTGCAAGTGTGCTACATGAAAGTTGTGTTTGTGAGAAATGTGCATCCTCTTTACTAAAGTTTTAAATGTTTGGTCAGACTTTCATGTACTGTATGTATTACATGCAGTTTTTTAATACAAATTAAACGCCATAGTTTTTTAATCATCTGGTTTGTCTGAAGTCTGCTGTTGTGGTTACCATTGTTGGCAGAAACACGCAGTAGCCTGCTACTCCGAAGGTTTCCACTGGGCGGCGCTCCAGCAGCCGGAAGGTGAGCGGACACAGAAGAAGAGTGTCATTATTATTATTAACGAGCTACAGTGAGCCACAGTAACATCTTCCAATATGAAATAGCTAGTGAACCAGTTTGGCTTTATGTTACTGGCTTCAGAAGAACCAAATGTGGAGGTTAAACAAAGTTCGCCACAAAGCTGGTCGACAAGGCGACAGTTTGGAGGAGCTAAGGTTAAAGAGACGAGATCACGAAAAAGGTTTGGTTTTAGGTTGAAATGCTGTAACTTTGAACGGTAGCGTTACTGTGTACTTAACTGCAGTTATTTAGCAAGGTGGTGTTACGCTCCCGTCAGCAGGCTTATACTAGTAATATTAACTGTTAGTTAATGTTAACCTAATGTGTGGAAAAGAGGTTGCAGCAGTTAATGTAGTTTACAAGGACAGCAACTTGGACAGTTCACATAACAGTCAGCAGCGCTATCGCATAATGTAAGTAACATCAGACACAAAACGGAACTTGCCGTGTCATTTGCAGCAGTTTTGTCTCTTTGTAATTGTTCTACATCGCTCTGTGGTTATTTTGTATATCACCGTGATCATTTTACTTTGCTTTCTGGTCATTTAGTAGTTGTTTCGATTGACTTTCTAACAAGAAACCCTTGACCCCTTTGGGTCCCTGGTCCTGTACCCAGTAGGACTGTTAAGTAAACCATCAATGATCTTCATCTAACGCTCCACCAGTTGTCATACTTACAAACCCCATTAACAGCCCACCCGTCATAATCTTCTTATAATATAACATGGTGATATAGGCTCATAAGTATTGTCCATAGCTTACATATAATGGCAGCCAAGAATGCGGTTCACCATTGAATATTGCTTTCACAACTGCTGAAAACAATGTTTGTAGTATAACTAATGGAAGTAGTATAACTATGGCAGCCTTCAAGACAATACGTTGTCCGTACAATAATATACTAGAAGATAACAAAATATACCCCTAAGATGATATCTAGTCATGTTTTCAGGGCTACATTCATACATCGTTCAGCTACAAAGTCAGTTATCCACGGAGCAGCTGACTTGTAGGGCATCTATGTGCCGAACAGCTACGTGTGATAGGCTGCACTCCAACAGAAAGTAATGTGATATTTGTTGATCTTAACTGCTGTAGCATTGAGACAGGCCCGCAGAGACAGACAGCTGGTGAGCAGGAGGCTCCTGCTGAGTGAAGATGAGGACCAGCCAGATGTCTTCATGGACACTGCTCCAGGAGAACAGGTGAAACAGATGTGCTGAATGATGTGTTGATTCATATAAAACTTGCTATCTTAATATTTTTCTCATTTCCCCAGGACGTTGTCTGTCTGTTCCAAAAACTTAAGCACAGCGGGCCAGAGAGGGAGGCCCAGCTGAAAGCCTTGAGCAAAGCTCTCCGTGACCCATCAGCACGTCTCACCTTTCTCAAGTACAGTGGTAACTGTTGTTGCCTCGTCAAATGAGTCTGTTTATTAGGTGTTGTATCTATCTGTGAATCCGCCTTTCTTTTCAGGCAGGAGAACGGCATGCACCTGCTGGTCAGTCTTCTCACTGGCTCCAATGCACAGTGGCGTCTGCAGGCTGGTCGGTGTCTTCATGAGCTGTCTCTTTCCGCCCACACCAGCGTGGCCGCAGCCTGTCTGCCTGCCACTACCTACCTGCTCACCTACCTGTCCGGACAGAGCACCAAGTTCACTGTGAGTACCCACCAGGAAGTATGAAATGTAATCACCTAATTATGCAGGAGACTTGAAACTTCCTACATGTGTACACAGGAGCTGTGTCTCTACACACTGGGTAACTTATGTCCAGACAGTGCTGTACAAGACAAACTCCTGGCCCAGGGAATCATACCAGCTCTGGCCAGCTGTATAGAGGTAATCAAACAAGATCCATTGGTCTTGTCTTTTGTAATAAACACCTCAACTTTACTAACATTCATAGAGTTTTGCAAAGCTCTGAACTGGGGCCACACAAAGTTAAATGTACAGCAGTAATGCTAACATGTCACTCTTGATGTTTCTGTGTGTGAACCAGAACCAGAGACATAATCTAGCGGTTGTTGAAGCGGTGGGGTTCACCCTCTCTCAGCTTCTCCAGGCCAAAGATGCAGCAGAGAAAATAATCCCGTAAGCACTGCAGTGGCACACCAGTACCTGTCTCTGTTCTTTACTGTGCTTTTCACTCAGAAGATGTTAAATTCACTTCCTGTGTAGGGTGTTACATCCATTAGACACTGTCCTGAGTTATGTAAAGGTCCCTGCGTCTTTCCGCAGTATGGTCCTGGCCTCCAGCTTACCTTCACACTTGTTATCAGTCCTGACTCCTGATCCAAATTTTGGCCTGGCACCTGCTATTGAGTGTGCGTGGTGTCTACACTACTTAACATGCAGGTGAGAGCTGTGTGTCAGCAAACTTGTATTTACCCTCTTCTATTATGTGCAGTTGTTTCACAAACAGTGTAACTTTACTGATTATAATAATAATGATCTGTCTCTCTTCTGCTTTTATTTTGAAGTATTGTGGATAAACGAGAGCTGCTAGCTCATGGAGCCCTGTCACAGTGCAGTTCACTGTTAGTGTCACTAGGTGATGCTATCGCTGTAGGAAACAAAGAAGAAGGAATTGAGTTGGTAACAAAATTAACACTCTTGTTCTTTTCTTTGTTTATTAATTGCTTGAGACAAATAATGTATGTCAGTACTTTTTATTACTGCTGACCAATTTTCAAAGCATGCATTACATTTTTCTATTAATATCTTAATCGGTAAGAGCTCAGTTGATTTTGGTTCCTGTCATCATGTTATGAAGATCAATAATGCAGAGATGTGAAAATTAGTTAAGACAAGTGGTACATCACTGTGAACAGTGTTGGTGCATTAAAGGAAGCTTCAGTTTCAACAACAGAAAATCCCCAAGGGTTAAAGCTATAAGACTTATTATGTAGTTGTTTCTTGCATTACACAGGTTGTAAAAACGAGGGTTTCATTACCTTTTATGATAAAAAAGAATTGAATTTTCATACTGAAAGGCAAAAAAAATCAAAAGCTAATGAAACATTTGCTAAACATGTTCAGGAAAATGAGCCAAAGTGCAATGTATAGTATATTATACACTACTTGTGATCTTTAGAGTGAAGTATGCAACATTACCAGTATGGAATGGTTTAACTGACATGGGCATTTTTCCATCTGGTGACCCACTTTAGCTTGTCTGTCCTCTGCTGCGGTGCGTAGGGAACCTTCTGGCCTCCTGCCCAGTGGGAGACCTGAATACTCAAGTGTGTGACGTTCACCTTGTGGTTGCTCTGTGCGCACTTATCCAGGCCTACCTACAGACTCGGCCAGCCTTGGCCAGAGAGAGTGCCTGGGTCCTCAACAACCTGACAGGTGAGAGCAGTCTGGTGCAGTCACCTCTGGTCTCTGCTCAGGCCCAAACACATACGTCTGCACTGATTTTGGTCTTGAAAATGTGGAAACTGGGAGGGGGATTTCTGTTATACTCAGCAGTGTCTAGTTTAGGAAAAGCTCATAGAAGCAGACATTATTAGGGCGTAATTAGGCATGCACGTTGTACACTAGATCATTGTTGATACCTCGCCCCAATGGTTTTGGTTTGAACTTTTTATAGACAGGTTACTTATATTTGTGCAACAAAACCAAGTAATTGATTGATTGATGAAATTAGTTGGCTTTTACATGAGTTTTATTGAACCTTTTGTGCTACACACATCTAAAAATACAAACACGGACTTGTATAACTCAGGACATTTGATCCAAAGTATTCCCAGTCTGATTATTATTTTACTATTGTTGTCAGTAACTGTATCAACAGATCATCAGCTGTTTGTCTTTAAAAGGGTTTGGCATCTAGCCATTTTGCCATAGCCGTGTAGTTTATGAAGAAGTTGTTTGTCATGTTTCTTTTCATTCCTTTATCAGTATCTTTGGTGCTAAATTTATGTTCATTTTACTGATCGTGAAAACCTGAATGAATTTATGACAAGAGTTTCCTTCCGTACACACCCGAGGACTGATGTATTTATTCAGAGTGACTGTGTTTAATGGGATTTGTTCTGACCCCTGTCATGTCACTCTCTGTTCCAGCTCACTCCAGTGATTTCTGCTCTGCTCTCCTCTCCTTCAACTTGGTCCCTGGACTGATCCAGCTTCTGCCTTTCTCTCAAGGCATCAATACATTGGTCAGTGCATGCCAAATTCAGACTTCAGTATTATTGTATTAGTAGTATGCTTCAGTTATTGTGGAACATAATGATCAGCATTGTATTTGTTCTGCTGCTCTTATACTGGGATGAATCTAGAGCTTGTTCCTTTGTTGGCACACAACACTACATTGTTATAGCACCATCTCACTGGTCTGTGCCTTCTTATTGACCTCAGATCCTCAGGGTTCTTGCAAATGTTTCCCACAAGAAAAAGTTCTGTGTCCAGCTGGGCCAGCTTGGATTACTGTCTGCACTCTGTGCCACGCTTAAAATGACCGACCAAGAAATGGTGACCCTGAGTCTGGACATCCTCTTCATGTTGGTATCTAGCACGCCACAGGTAAGCAAGAGCACTTCAGTGAGCGAAACCAAATCACATAATGATTAGCTTTTGCTAAGCTGCCATCTTTGCAAAAACCTTTACCAGTGTTGTCTTGGCTGATGCGTTGCTTTTTTTTATTTTAGTTGGCTGAAGAGTTTGAGAGGCAAGGTGGATTGTCACTGTTAGAAGCCATTCAGTACAACAGTGAAGGAGAGATGAGGCGAAGAGCAACATACCTGCTGGAGCACCACCTACTGTTACTCTAACCATACTTCACAGTGAAGACATCTGTATAGTTTTGTCCTCTGGTGAATCTGTGGTAATCAAGAAATCAAAAAATGAGTTATTTGATCTGTTGTGCTGCAGGTGACCAACACACCAGGACACAGTGTGTCTTTAAACAATGCCACAGAAACTAATGCCTGGATATCAAGTATCATGTCCTCAGGTCATATTACTGTATATTATAACAGTATTTTATTAGCTGTAAAGATGAAGTGTATATATATTTATACCTGAGAATCAGTACCTCAGTCTTACACTCATTCAAAATCAAAATTGTATTTATATTAAGATTAGGTCTTTTTTGCAAGTCTCATCTGACAGGAAAACACCTGCTGTATGAACTGTAGGGGTTGACTGTAAATATCTTGAATGATGGTGATGAAAAACATTTTTTGGTTATGCAACAATGGCAGATTTTTAGAAGTAGCGTGTCTTTTGAGCCATTAATCAAATGCTGGATAAATTATGAATTAATAAACAGCTTTACATCAAACTTGACACATTTTCTGAGACCAAGATATTATGTGGATAATAATACTTAAGTTTTCTTGTTTGATTTAGTTCAGCGATTATTTATATAATGCAATATACTCAATTTTGTCTTGTATATAAAGATTAAATGTAACCCTTATTGTATTGTCCCAGGTGTAATGATATTGATTGTTTAATGCAAGGCACATGAACATGTTCATAACATGTTTATTTTTCTGAGCCTCATAAAACTAGCGAGACTTGGGTTCATGAAAACGATTGTTGTGGTGGTGAAAATGCATTAATGAACATAGAGATGATAACCTGCATCAATATTGACATCACTCCAGATCAGTCTCTTCAGGTAATACAATACATTTTTTTCTAATGTTGGTTTGCACAGCTGTGTGTTTAGTGACGGCATTAGAAAAGGTGCAGAGATGCCTTTAAAATGTTAAACCTCTGGAAAATTGTTCTGATCAATGTCCTATCTTGACAGCTTCTTCTGTTTGAACTGAAGAAATGTAGAGCTGAAACTGTGTGTTAACAGGTTGGCTAAATAAACAAAAATAACAGCCCAAACCTTTTGATAAATGATAATGATGTTCATTTATAAAATAACTGGCTGATTAATGGATAATGAAAATGATCTTTAGCTGCGAGGTCTGGCATTTTCTGTCTTCTTTAAGTCGGTGTCAGGTTTGCCCGGCTGCACCTACTTTCTCACTCCCCTCGCTCTGTATTCACTCCCTTACCCTGATTACGTTATCCTTTACTCAGTGAAATTTCATTTTGGCTTGGTGACTGAGTGAACATTGTATTGAGCAACAGCCTCAGCCTGAAACTTGCAGTGTCCAGCTCCTCCTCTTAATGAAAAAATAGAGGAAGGCTCAGATTTCCTTACTTCCTGTGTCCACACTCAGCAGCCTCTTTCCGTTATCTTTTCTGCTCTGCGTGACAAACTGAACCAAGGTGGGTCAGTTATTGTTGTGTGTGTGTGTATATCTGAATTTTGTGTGACTGCTGTTTTTTAGGTATCTGGGGTCATTCTGTTGCACTATGACTGCTGTCTCTGTTAATTTATAATGGGCTCGAAGGGGAAAATATTCATCTGGTTCCAGACACTCTTGTTGTGTCTTCACACAGCCAAATAGTGTGTGTCGTCTGTTGGCAATGGAAGGCACTGAGCAAACGATTAGAGAGAGAACAACAGAAAGAGACGGGACTCAGGAGGCAGACCACAGGGTGTTGTTAACCAGCAAGCCTCTGCATCGCTTTGTCCAGAGAGAGCCCAAAAGCCTTGGGGTAACACATCACACAATCCAGGGATAGTTATATGACCTTGTGCCTATTGTATATCTTACAAGTAGGAAATAGGTGTATAGAAATATTTCTACTATACACAAAGAGCAGCCATAAAATATTATTCTACTGTTGCTACTTTCATGCATCCTTCCTCTTCTCCTTCCCAGATTGTCATCCTGATATTTGGCTGTATAGAGATCCTGATGGGATTTCAACTGGCCCGTGAAAATGAACGAACCTCTACTTTTGCCTATGTCCCCTTTTGGCAGGGAATTCTGGTACAGTATATAACATTTGATTTAGCATTCTGGAGAAATGTTACTTAACTGACTATATGATCAATAATATATTGTACTTTTCATTTAGAAAACCCTGACACTTGTCTTGAAAATTACAGTAAAAGAGAGGCACCTTAAATTCTCCTGAAAACTTGGTGTCAAAACATATATACCCTGACTTTTTTGCCAAGACTTATTGAAAAGAATTAAGAATTATTACTGAAACTTTTAATTAGTGAGCTTTAGAGGTCTTGGTAGGTGGGCTTTGTTGCCTTCATATAAAGTAAAAATAACTTTGTTTTCAGTTTATATGCTAAGCTAGGCTAACTGGCTGCAGGGAGGATGCTTCATATTTATTGTACAGACATGAGTGGCATCAAAATTCTAGCAAAACAATTTTACTGATATTTTTGTCCAAAGGTAGTCTTTAAAGTTCATTAATTAAAATACTTCATCACTCACATATGCACATACACAAAAGCTTTTTGGACAGAGCTGTTCTAAATGTCTACATGTTCCCCCGTGTTTCCAGTCTTCATGTTGAGCGAAGCTGACTGGTCGTTTGCTGTAGCCCTACAGACACACAGTAAGGGTTGTATTAGTGTTTCCATCTCTTGGCAAAAACGAAAACAAAGCAAATAAGCGTATGCAGGGCGGCCTGTTATGTAGTCTGTGGATTTTATCACATTTCCACTATACACAACGTTTTTCTCCAGCTACCATGATGACAGTCATGACATATGAAAAAGGCAATGTCACACGCAGTTTTCAAAAATATAATGTTGTGATAACCTGTTTATTATTATTTAAGTTTATCATCTGCGGAACTCTGTCTATCTACACTGAGGTACACCCGTCAAAGAAGATGGTAAGTATATTTCTATTTTATGTTCCAATTGTAGTTGTAGTGTTTAATTGTATTTTATCATTCATCATAATCTATTTAATCTTTTCCAGGGTTATGTAGTCTGTGGATTTTATCACATTTCCACTATACACAACGTTTTTCTCCAGCTACCATGATGACAGTCATGACATATGAAAAAGGCAATAAGTCACACGCAGTCTTAAAAAAATATAATGTTGTGATAACCTGTTTATTATTATTTAAGTTTATCATCTGCGGAACTCTGTCTATCTACACTGAGGTACACCCGTCAAAGAAGATGGTAAGTATATTTCTATTTTATGTTCCAATTGTAGTTGTAGTGTTTAATTGTATTTTATCATTCATCATAATCTATTTAATCTTTTCCAGGTGACTGTGTGTTTGGCCATGTATGTGATTTCCCTCTTGGGAATCATAGTCTCTGGTAGCTTCAGGCTGTTCTGCTTCAACCACTACAGCTACCTTTATCACTGGGCATCATACCAAGAGCATAATATTTGGGCCTACTACAGAGCAGTGAGCTACAGCATATATACAGTATATTTCCCTAAATGGATGACAAAGTTTGAGTGTATGAACAACTCATATTTGCCTAAATGGGTGACAAAGTTTGAGTGTATGAACAACTCTCTCCTTCACTTCCTGTTTTCAGGAGCAGCTCTTTGGTGTTGAAGGCTTGCTGCTCGCTTCCTCTCTGTGCGTGTTTGTGCTTCTAATCTTCTTGTGTACCGTTGCACGTCTAGCGCTGAAATCAACACAGAATCAGGTAATGCAGTTTTCACTGTTACTTTATAACAATGATCCTTCTCACTGAGATTTAAATGTGTAATTCAAATTTAAGCCTGTGGAGGGAGATCCAGTATTTCTTTTGAACCAGCATAAGAGCTGCAGCCAATATACTGTATAAATGACAATGTACAAAGACTAAGCAAATATACTAAAGGCATGAAAAGTAAAATAAAAATGAATGAAAGGAAGAGCCTTTGCAGCAGCAGAAATAAGAGCTATGATTTATATATAAATGCTTTTCCTTCTCTCCTATGCTGTCACTTGATTTGTGATCTCCCTGATTTGTGCTCGGACCACAAGGTATGGTTGAAAGTTTGAAATGATGGATCTTTCTTGAAACTTAATGCAGGATGTCAGCATTAATCACAAGTGGTTTCATATAATCTCAACCCAAAAAAAAATCTTGGCCAAGAGGGGCAGTAACAACAGTGATTTACAGACAAACATGACAGAAAATACACAGCAAAATAATATGTGGCTATAAAATCATTTGAAAATTCTAGTGGATTTATATATAACATTGCATCATAGAATCAAACTGGCTTGGGCCTTAAACCAACCCAACAGCTGACTCAAACCACAGAAGCTGTCAACCAATTTAAAACCAATAGCTTATAAGATGAATGCATCAAGAGACTAAAATACCCCAAAACAGCAGCAGACAGAAAAAGCCAGATGTCATTTTCACAATATCTGATAAACAATGATGTGGGTCAGTCATCATTTTCTTGTCTTCTTCTTTTCCTCTTTCCTACCCTGATCCACCTCCATATCTTCAACAGGTTATCATCCAGCGCATATCATCACCACCACCACAGCAAAGTGACACCACGTCAGACTAAAATCAGTCTTTTCAAGTATTATTCTGCAGTAATTAACACTCATTCCCGGTGTTGACCTACACTGTGAGAGAAATTTCTTTCTCGGTGTTGACCTACACTGTGAGAGAAATATTATATGTCATAATTCCACACAGTGTCATGTGTGAATGTGACACAAGAGTTCAGCCATAGCATTTCACGTGAACGTGACACAAGAGTTCAGCCATAGCATTTTTGCTTTTTGTAAAGTTTATATAGAAATGAAGGATTTCTGTTGCCTCATGGGAGAAACATGCATTTATTAAGGGAGCATGTTAATAACATCTCTCTAACAGCATGTAACATTATTCACTGTGCACATTAGACTTCAACTAAAGCATCAAGGTGAATAAGTCTTACATACAATGATATTGATTTATTATCACAATATGCAGTGTTTGGATCAAACTTTGTCCAATGATGATATCGATCAATAGTCATCTGATTAACGATGGTAGTAACACCTAATTCTTAGTATATTTTGTACTAACAATAATGTAGTTATGATAGTTAATGCTGGTTAAGTCACACAGAAGGCCATTTTTCTAGATTTTATACAGTAAACATACATCTGCACCACAATCCTCTAAAGTACAGGAAAGTTAGGATTTCTATTACTATTGTTTACATGTTCTGTAATTGCTAAACCCTTGTGCCAAATATCATCTCCATTATCTGCATTATTATCACAATATATGCAGTGTTTGGATCAAACTTTGTCTGTAATGTAAATTATGCTTGCAGCTTTTTTATATAATCAGTGTGATCATCTGTATACACTAGACCACATTTAGCTGAAGACATTTTACACAGTGACTTTGGATGAATGTGAAGATGTGGGCTGTGTTTTGTTTACAAGTGTTTACATGTGCTTGGATTGCCAACTTGAAAATATTCAAAAGAACGTATGGTACTGAACAAGCGCTGGCAGCAGTGCAGAGACATTAGCGTCAAAAAGGTTTTGAGTGGGGCTAACATCTCTAACAATCAGAGTGTCACATATCAAATATCTGGAGAGCTGGGCAGAGCGTGGCAGAGTGCAGCAGATGGTAGTAGAGCACAGTGGAGCAGGGAGAGGGAGTGCTGGGCTGTTTCAGAGTATCATGCTAGTGCTACCTTAAGTTGCATACTGTAGCTTTAGGTCTCAACTTCTGACTTGGTGTACTGTTTATATATATTGTATTTATGCAAATTAATCTACAGTACATGACTTTGAAGAACCTGCTTGGAAACAAGTGCCCATCTTTTGACTGTGAACATGTGGCGAAAACACATAATTGAGCAGCTTTATGTGCAGTTAATGTGATGTGTGTTGTCTTTGTTAAACTAACAAAATAAAATTATGCTCAAATTGAATGTCATATTATCCATGCAGTATATAAATCTAGCACTCACATACTGTATGTACAGGTTAGACCACACAGACATAGTGTACTCTGGGTTATTAACTGACAGTCTCAATAGTTCGTACCTGCAAAACCACTTATTTTGCTAACCATAAAATACAGTAACACACCCACACACAGCTACCTCCTCCTGTCTCTATAGTAAGATATTTTGCCCAACCATTAATTCTGTTGGCCATGTAATGTATACTAATATATGTATATTTGAATACTGTGACATGCGTGTACAGATGAAACACTATTTTGTGTGTTACCAGACTGATCAGTATCAAAAAAAATGTTGGGGTTCAGTTTTTTAAATGCTATTCATTCTCCAGTCCAGTGTTTAAGGTTGGTTTCACTTCTCTTACTGGACAGTGGCCAAGTTCTTTCAGTATTTCTCCATCAGGGTGAATGAGCTGCACAGCTGCATTTTTGAGTTAGGACACATGTCCAAGATCGCTGTGTGTATTAGGAGTAAACAGGAATGGCTCCTACATACTCACAACCACACTTGTGTCACAGAGACAACGTTGGAATCCTAAAACCTTTCACCCTCCGTGCACCCAAGTTAAACCTATGACACCTCAGTCAAAGGCATGAGTTAAGTTTACAATTTATAGCAAAGGAATATGGCTCTTGAGTTGTAACACAAAAACTGCAGTTGTAACAACAAGATGTTGGTCACAATTTATTTCCAGTAATTTCTCAGAGTAGATAAACAGTTCACATCATAATCGAAGTCTGCCCCCTGGTGCTGGATAAGCAGTAGTGGCATTTCTTGTAGTCACATTTGGTCCATGTGCAATCTTGGGTTGTTTGAATGTTTACACTATTTAATAAACATAGCTGGCAGTGTACAGAGACTGTGAGGAGGCCTGGCCAGTCTTACCTTGGCTCTTTTGCAGAAAGCTTCCTGTGAAGCTGCTTTGTTGGCAGCTTTGCCCTGCCAGGCTGCAAGAGCAGAAGCCTGGAGTGCACGGCCATAAGAGAAGGTTAGTTTCCAGGGTCGATGGAGGGGCACCTGGTTAATGGCGTTCAGGTTGAGGGAGGCCTCTTCCTCACTCTGGCCTCCAGAGAGGAAGCAGATGCCTGGAAAGGCAAAGGACACAACATGCCAATAGTGCTTCACTTGCTAAGAAACTAGGTCATCTGTGGTTTGGTTCAACTGGTTTGTTAAGGAAGAAGCTGGCCCTATGACACTTACCAGGCACTGCAGCAGGGACGGTGCGCCTCAGCGCAGTCACTGTAGCCATGGCAACCTGCTGAGGGGTGTACTTTGTAGTGCAGGAGTGTCCAGCGGTGACCATGTTGGGCTTCAGCAGAGTGCCCTCCAGGTAGACATGGTGATCAGACAAGGCCTTGTACACAGCAGCCAGAACCTAAAGATGAAGAGGCAGATTTAACGATGACACATTCTTCCAAGCTTCTTCAAATGGGGAAAAATATTTACTGGTGGTGGTCTTGTATTTGCTAACTAAGCCAGAGACGATGAACCAACCTTCTCTGTGACATACTGGCAGCGCTGCAGGTCATGGTCTCCATCAGGCAGGATCTCTGGCTCCACAATGGGCACCAGGCCATTCTGGATGAGTATATGAATATCACATTGAAATGGGTGTCAAACAAACAACATATACTGACTAGGATTAATTCCTCCAGTCGTTAATATGGAGAATATGGCTCCCACCGACCTGTTGGCAGATACTGGCATATCTGGCAAGGACGTTGGCATTCTCTGCAATGCTGAGATCCGATGGGCAGCTGTCTGAGATATTGAGCACACATCTCCACTTGGCAAAGTCACAACCATCCTTCTTATACTGGGCACAGCGCTCAGAGAGGCCATCAAGACCTGAGGAGAAACAACAAGTCACAGAATGTTGTGTCCAGTGACAGTAGGTTCACATATTTTTGCACAAATCAGAGCAATTTAGAACTTCCCTCAGTCTTTTATTTAAAAATGCTTTAATGAGTTTTGTTAGTTATTCCACAGAAAACTTCTAAATGACATGCTATTACTTGCAACAATTTGCAGAAACGTGACCAGTAGAAGAAGACGTGCACTTGCAGGTCTGCATATCAAATCCATTTTTACCTTGTGTGGTGGTCTCTCCATCAGTTCCATTTAGACGAGCTGTGCCTTTGTCTACCTGAAGTAGGAAAAAGGAACACATCCATTAACTCAAAGATCAACATGTGGAAGCCCCAAAAACATGTGCAGGTGACTGTGCTCAATCTTGGCTTTAAGCCTCCTAACCTTGATGCCACCTACAAAAGGTGCAGAGATGCCATTACAAGGACAGCAACTTGGACAGTTCAACAACAATGCCCTTATCCTTGATGACTTTGGGGAACAACTTGCCACTGTCTGATTTCTGGTACAGTGTCTCATGGAAGAAGATGACCCCACCAATACTGTTGGCGATGGAGGGATCAGAGGAGAAGAGGATGTCACGGAAGCAGCGACGGTTCTCCTCTGTGTTCTCCACATTGATTTTCTGAAGGCGTTTTCCCATGGTGCCTTGAAAGAAGAGGGCATGGGAATTATCTCAGTGGCAAACTCTGCAGACACCTATCACCACAGAAATATAATAAAAGTTGAGGCTCACCTGTTGATTCATCTGCAGCCAGGATTCCCTTTCCTGGAGCCACAATCTTCTGAGCAATGTCAGAGAGCTCCTTCTTCTGCTCCGGAGAGAGGGATGGGAATTGATGAGTCATCCTAGATGAAAGAAACAAGTTATATGACAGGTTCAGAAACTCTTCATATTTCTAGTTAGTAGATTTAAGAGATTTTCATCTTTCCCCCTCATCAAACACCATGAACCTCTGCTGCTGACATCCTTCTCTTGCGTCACCTCAGTAAATATTTGGCTTGCACAGTTGAACTTTGGCCTCAATACTGATAAGTTATGGTTCTCTATGTGATAGTTCACAGTTCACTTTTCCCTCCAATGCTTTCTGCTGGGGAAAGCGTTAAACTGCGCCTTATGAAGGGTTAAGAATTAGGAACTTCAGCACAACTGGCAGAAATACACTAACAGGTTGAACGCGGATGTGTTTCGGTTCTGGTATCCGCACAAAGCCAAGGCGCAGGGCCAGCCTTCAGAGGGCACACCTCGGAATTCAGGATACAGCCGTTACAGAGTTACGACCAGTTTGTGATTACTGCAAACACTTGTTTACCATAGCGGTTTATCAGCTCGATCATATACTTAACGACCCGTTTATCTCGCTCTACAAGCTCCAGCTTTAACAAACTTTAACTTCAGCTTAAGTCCATATCTGTAACATTATCGCTGCATACTTAGAAATAGGAGGAAAAGCAAAGATGCAGACTGATGTTGCAGAAAGCTGTAAAAATTTGCTTAATTTATGTTTCCTGGGGAAAAAAACATATAATTTCAAATAACTTGAATACATCTTACTTGGGAATGAAACCAAACGACGATGATAACACGAGCAACAGACGACCTCAGCAGGCTCCCAGGAGAAAGTGAGTGATAGAGACAGAGACAGAGACAGAAAACTCGCACAAAGCTCTATTTATGAGTAGTTGTGCTATGTGGGGGAGGGGCTGGTGATGTGGCGGGGCGTGTGTCTCCCCGGAGATGCAATTGGCTCCGCCAGGCAGACAGGGGCGATGTTGGCGTGGGTCGAAGCCCATGTGCTCGTCTATGGACTTTCATTTCGGAAGCTTGGGGTGGGATGACTCGAAAGCAGAAAGGGAATACAGTGTGTCCTCTAAAACACTGTATAAACCCCAAGTGTGCATGCATGCATGCATGCACGCACCACACAGGCGTGTAACACAAAGACTCCTGTTTATATATATATATATATTTATGTTCAGTGTCAGCACTTTGATTAATGATGAAATGTGGCCTAACTGCCCTGCTGCAATGTTGCAATTCAGGTTTCTTTTGTTTCTTCTCTGGTGAAAGTATTACAAAAGCATATGGTGTTTGTCTTCAGAGGAAAGTTAGAGCTTTTTAATTTGCACCTAAGGTTGTGGATCAAATAAGTTACATTAATATAGGACATGCATATTTTAATGTTTTATATATATGCAAACACCGACACAATTCAAAAGCAAGATCATTTCAAATTTTATCAAACTACTTTATAGATTCACAAGTACTAAGCAGACAGACATATAATCTTCATCATAACCTTCATCTTCCCAACCATCTTACAAGCAGAGTCGATTTTAAGTGTGTTTGTTTTTTATTATTATTTAGCTAGAGGTAATCCATAACTATTCTTGTACATCAATCCTCATTGTTATTTGTTATTGTCATTTATCTGCATGAATAACAAATAGTATGATTTTCAACAGGAAACATCTAGTTCTGATGTTACCCGTTTTTATAACTGACTGATTTGTGCCATATTAGTAATGATCACAGGACCAAGTTTTAGTTTATTTACTGGTCACAAATGGTATATATGATAGTTTGACTGCAAAACCGGCTTCTTCATGCTACCTTCTTTATGTGCCTTGTGCGTCACTTTGCTTGTCAAACAGCGTCATCCATACACAATTCTCATATTGATTACTGAAAATGGTCAGGCCATGAGTGACCTCAGCAGATAGGGATATCTGAACTCACAAATAATGACAAGCCAGCTTTTACACAATTTGGACTCTGCACCTTGTGCAGTGTACCTTTTAATATTGCTGATCTGAGTTCATTCTCCGTACACATGAGTCCTGTTTTACATAAGGACCAAGGAAAAGAGAGTCATGAGGTGTGCAAAATGTCATCCAGACAAGATAACCTAACCCCAAAAGTATATGAAATCAATTAAAAAAGCTACAGCCACAAGAAAACATCATTAAAACATAATACACAATGAAAGAAAACATAATTTCCTGGTTTTCTGCATAAATTGGTCATGAAATGTGACTTGATCTACACTAAAGTCACAAATATCAACAAACACAATATTTCTAAGCTGATAAAATACAAAGTCATGATCTTTCATGTCCTTATTGAACACACCCATTAACATACAAAGTGACGATGGAAAAAGTAACGGCAGCAATTTTAATAACTGGTTGAACCACCTGTGGCAGCAATAACCTCAAGCAAGCACTTGCTGTAGCTGTGGGTTAGAGCTGTACAATGTTCAGGAGGAATTTTGAACTATTCTTCCTTACAGAGCTGCTTCAGCTCAGCCATATTCTTAGGACATCTGGTGTGAACAGCTCTCAAGGTCATTCCACGGTTTCTCTATTGGGTTGAAGTCTGGGCTCTGACTGGACCACTCCCAAAGGAGGATTTTGTGTCTCCGAAGCCATTCTGTTGTAGATTTACTTCAGTGTTTAGGGTCATTGTCCTGCTGCATCACCCAGCTTGTTTTGAGCTTCAGCTTGCGAACAGCCACACTGATATCATCCTGTAGGGCACCTTGATAAACTTGGGAATTCATTTTCCCCTTGACAATGGCAAGCCGTCCAGGTCAGAGGCAGCAAAGCAGCCCCAAACCATAATTCTCCCTCCACTGTACTTCACTGTTGGGATGATGTTTTCATGTTGATATGCGGTTCTCTTTTTTTCATCAGGTACTGCTGTGTGTTCTTCCCAAACAATTCTACTCTTTGTTTCAGCTGTCCACAGGACATTTTCCCAGTAGTGTTGTGGAGAATCATAGTAGTCTTTGGCAAATGTGTCCTGCCATGCCTGTTCAATATTTTGCTTATGGCTGACTCCTGAACAGTGACGTTAATCAACTCCAATGAATCTTTCAAGTCTTTGACTGCTCTAGTGTTCTTTTTTTTTTTTTTTTACCTCACCAAGCATTCTGGGCTGTGCCTTTGGTGTAGATCAGATCACATTTCATGACCAATTTATGCAGAAAACCAGGAAATTGCAAACAGTACCATTACTTTTTTTATGACAAAAGAATGTTAGTTTGGTTGTTTTGTTGCCTGATAATTGCTACAGTATCTCCTAACACTGTAGTCCAACATAGTCTGTACTGTGAAGCCATTTTGCTTAGATCAGTAAAATGGTTATACACAGCATCTGAGTTGTCTCAGTAGTTTTTGAGGAAAATGATCTGCCCTTACTCTATGTGCATTACAAATGTCTTAATTTAGGGGCATGTGTTTCACATTTATGGGTTATTTGGGATTTAGGACTTTTATATTTACATTTAAACTACACTACTAACCTGCAGAGTTTGTGTTAGTTGCCTTTTGGTCATTTTATTACGTGCAAATTCGTTGTGAACTGCTTAATAAAGTAATCCCATAACCTCATCTTGTAGAGGGGCCCTAGTTATAAAACATTCTAGTTTACAATATATTTTAGCTGATATTGTCCTTGCTCTGTACCTTTACCTAAATTAATGTGTTTTATGAAATAACCAAAGTAAACCTGGAGCCATGGTAGTATATCAGTAGCCCATATAAATACTGGTTAGTTTTTGAGTCTTTGTGTAAAAATGCAATAAATCTGAAATCTATAATGTGCTGGTTGTTTTCGGGGCAACAGGAGCCCAACAGCAAATTTTTGTCCTGTGGTCGGCTAATCTGAATGAATGTTGACCAGGGTGTCATTCCTCTCCTCGTCAGTAGGGGCGCGGTGTCGGCGGAGGGTTGTCCCACTTAGCTTGTGAACACTTCCGTTTCCGAGAGGCAAAGACCTGCAACATCAACATCCTCACATAGAATCAGTCAGTAAAACTCGTAACACTAAAAGTGGTAAGATGTTTGGTTAGGTTTAACTGTGACTGACAGTATTACAGAGTAAACGTGTGAATATGTTCGGACAGAACCCTGAGCATCAACAGACTTTAAAGCTGGTGATAGCAAACGGCTTACGTTAGCCTGCCGTTACATTGACTAATTTAGTAGCATGTTCGGGTTTTAAAATGTGATAGCAGATCATTTGGGTATATTTCACTCGTGTTTGAACTAGTAAGGTTTCGGAATGAAAGGTTTGGAGAGTTAAGTTTGAGTCCTTTTTATGTTCAATAACGTAACATTGTTCATCCAGCAAAGCCGTCTCGATCAAGGCTAGGTAGCTTTTAACGGTAACCCACTTTCTCCACCAGTCACATTCTGCTTTTTTGTTTCAGGAGTTTGAGGATGTCGGGACAGAAGCGTCCTGCTGATCCCAGCTGTGCCTCGACCTCCGGTGCGCCCCCAGAGAAGCGGAGGGAGAGGGAAGGGGAAGACGCAGGTCCCGGTGTCAGTGCCGCTGCCGGTGGGAGTACCGCGGTGGAGACGGTCATCAAGCTGGGAGGGGTGTCTAACTCGGTGAGCTACCCTTAAATATCCGCTGCCCTGCTAGTATAATATCAGCCACAGACGTGTCATGTGTTTGGCTACTTGTTCTCATTGCACGTTGGAATCTATCCTTTTTCAGGAGGAGCAAGACATCAAAGCTCTTCAGGCAAAAAACCGAAAGTTGGGAGAATCTCTTGATCAAAGACAGGTAAAATTAATTCTCTTATTTGTTTAGAATTCATCATGCACACTTGAAACTGGAACGTTTGTTCCCTCTTGTTTCTAGAAAGATTTATTTTTTGGTCTGATGTTTCACAGGTGATTGAGGATGAGTTGCGAGAGCGGATTGAGACACTGGAGACCCGCCAGGCCACTGATGATGCCAGCCTGCTGATCCTCAACAGATACTGGAACCAGGTGAACACTCACTGTCAGAGTTCAGACTAAGAAACACCAACACAATGACTTCTGTAAAGATCAAAAAGTTGACATGTGATGCCATCCTCTCTTCTTCAGTTGGATGAAAACATTCGACTAATCATTAGGCGTTATGACCAAACAAGCAGCGAACCTGAGAAATCTCCGGCAGCCGAGGGACGTAGCCTGAAGCCAGAGACTCCAGAACCTGATGGTGACTCCAACCAGGAGAGGGCCAAAGACAGAGGTAAAGATAAGAACTGACACATGATCATAATAATATGTAGGCATCACCAGAGATCAAAGCAAAACCCCTCTTTTCAGGCCACCAAGGAGAGACGGCCAATTCCTTCCTGGCTACACTGGCGAGCAGCAGCAGTGAAGAGATGGAGGCTGAGCTTCAGGAGAGGGTGGAATCGAGCCAGAAGCAGGCCGTTCGTGTGGTGGAGATCTATGAATGTCTGAGAAACACTGTGGACCAGCTGAAGGCAGAACTAAACTCTGGAGCTGGTGAGATAGAGGGAGAGTTTTGGGTGAAAAAGGACATGATGAAATTGTAATAATGGAATAAATCTGAGGATGAAATGAATTTAGGTGGAGGTCATTATATCAGTCCACGTCCATAAAAGGTGATGTTGTTGCTATCATTTCCAGAGGACAGTCTGTGGCGGGCAGCTTCCAAACTGAATTCTCTCCTGACCAGTGAAAACGAGCGGCTGCAGCAGTTGACAGAGGACCTCAAGCAAAAGTACAGTCACATGACAAACGAGGTACAAATTATATGTTCTTCCTTATTCACAGATGCAACAATTTGTGATAAACCTCTGTTTGAACTTTAGCTACCACACTGGGGGCTGCTTAATTTTAAGTAAGTTATCAAGT